GCTCTGTGTCATTTGAACATCATTCTTCTTCAGCGGTTGACACAGTCACTACCTAAAAACCATGCGTCATCATAAATATCCTCAACACATTTATTGAGCACCTACTGCATACAATGCAGGGGTCAAGGGAATGAGGAAGCAAGTGGTGTAGGACATTGTTACTGCTCTCAATGGCCCCACATTCTACTCAGTAAGAAAGAACATACTTATGTTAAGATTTTTTAAAAACTGCCTGCCTCCCAGGTCTAGAGGGATGCAGTAGTGAGGGATTGCAGAGGAGAAAGGGACACCAGCTTTTATAAGCAGGGGAGGACTTTTTTATATTTATTAGTTATTCTTTTTTATTATTTTTAATTTTGGGGACTACATGGTAAGTGTATATATTTATGGGGTACATGAAATAAATATTATGTGCAATGTGAAATAAGCACATCATAGAAAATGAGGTATCCATCCCCTCAAGCATTTATCTTTAGAGTTACACACAATCCAGTGACACTCCCTAAGTTATTTTAAAGTATACAATTAAGTTATTATTGACTCTAGTCACCTATTGTACTATCAAATAGTAGATTTTATTCTTTCTACTTTTTTGTACCTGTTAACAATCTTCACCTCCCCCGACTAAGCCCCCTGCTACTTTTCTCAGCCTCTGGTAATCATCCTTCTACTCTGTGTTCTTGAATTAGGTGTGGCTTGAGTCAAACATTGAAGGACTGGCTGGGTGTGGTGAGTCATGACTGTAATCTCAGCACTTTGGGAGGGCAAGACTGGTGGATCACCTGAGGTTAGGAGTCCAAGACCAGCCTGACCAACATGGCAAGACCCCATCTCTACTAAAATTAGGAAAATTAACCAGTCGTGGTGATGGGTGCCTATAATTCCAGCTACTTGGGAAGCTGAAGCAGGAGAATCACTTAAAGCCGGGAGGTGGAGGTTGCAGTGAGCCAAGAACATGCCATTGCATTCCAGCCTAGGTGACAGAGTGAGACTCCATCTTGGAAGTATAAGCCACCACATCCAGCCAAAGATAACTACGTTGGAAAGAAAACTGAAGGACAAGCAAGATGCTGATGGGTACCCAGTAAACACGGGGGTATACACATGGTGGTACAGTATGCTTAGTAGAGAACGGAAGGCATACAGCCTAGACTCTAGTCCTGAATTTACACTTCACCTATCGATTCATTTTTCCACATCTTAATTTTCTCTTAAAATAGAGATTATCTGTCTAGATTTCTCCATGTATCAGAGGAATGCTTTAAGAAGGTAAAATAATATTTCAAATAACAAGACTTTAAATCACCGGAGCAAAGAAGTCAGGTAAACAAAGACACTCTTATTCTGTCATTCATAGTTTTCCAGCATTGTCATCAGACAATTTAAAACTTCTGTTCAAGCAACACAGGGAGTCTTCGAATGACAGGTCGGTGGTATTAATGAATTCCCTTCTCAGTACTCCGACCACAAGAATCTGTGAATGAAAATGAGACAGAGGACCCGGATGTAATGCGAGTTTCTGTTTACTAAACTGAGTGGTGTCCATTTACAGAAACACTGATCCCACACAAAGCCAAGCTGTGGCTATCCTCAGGGCTTGTGTTATGCCCTTAACATCACTGTAGGAATATTCAGTGTCTGCCTCCTGCATTCTTTCTTTCCCTTCAAGATAATCTGAGAGTTACCACAAAGGAAACACTCCAGACTTCACTGGTCCTACTGAAGGTCTGATTCCAATCCCCCATCAAAATGCTACCAGAGGCCTGCGCCCCAGTGAAAAGCCCTTTTATGGGAGCACTTGTGATGGATGTTGTTGAGACACAGTTATCTTTGGCCGGATGTGGTGGCCCATACTTCCAATCCCAGCACTTTGGGAGGTGGAGGTGGGAAGATGGATTGAAACCAGGAGTTTGAGACCAGCCTGGGCAACATAGGGAGACCCCCATCTCAACAAAAAATTTAAAAATTAGTCGAGTATGATGGTGTAAACCTGTAACCCCAGCTACTTAGGAGGCTGAAGTAGGAGGATCACTTGAGCCAAGGAAGTTGGCGCTACAGTGAACTGTAATCGTACCACTGCACTCCAGCTGGGCAATGGAGCAAGACTCTATCTCTAAAAAAAAAAAAAAAAAGGAATGGTTATTCTACCAAAAGAATAAATGGCTACCACTACCATTTAACATTGTCCTTAGTTTTCTTTTCTTCATTTTGATTCTTTCTCCAAGGAACTGTTGCCTTTTCAGAGATGAAACAAAGGGGGCTGTTGGGTAACAACCCAGGGCCCAGCAGCTGGCTCCAGCGAGGCCTGGCTGCAGGATGAAGGCTGAGATCAAATGTATGACTCATAACTGGGAGGCAGCTGCCAACCCCTGCTGCTGGGCATAGTCGGCACTGGCTGGGAAGGCTTGCTGGTCTGCACCCTTGTCTGCTTCCTGTGCTAGGAGCTCAGCCCCTATCCCACCTCCCTCCTCCAGCCCTATCTCCACATGGAATTGTTCTGGCTGTCACCCAGAGAGCTCCTTCTTTCTACCCATGTTCAGTTAGGTACTTGAAACAGCACATGACTCATGTTGTACTCAGCCAAGACCAACAGTATCAGGCTTCTATTGTTCAAGAGCTGACTCCAAGTTCCATGAACAGTTTCAATAAGTGGAGACCTTGTTGCTTACATTGCAGCTCTCTAAAATCATGGAAAGAAATGACAACACTGGAGCCACAGAAAAGCCAGGGCACAGAGTAGCACAACCTCATTCTTCCTTAAACACTGTCTCTGGAAGTTCATCCTGAAGCATTTTCCTTGGCCACAGTCACCAGGTTGGGCTTGCCGCAAGGGATGAATACACAGCTTGTCAAAGATGCATTGAGTTGCAAGTGCAAAGACTAGCAGTGTCACTCCAGGGACTAGTAAGGGCCCGAGGGTGAATTTTATCATTAACTCAGGGCCCTGCTGCCAATGTTAACTGCATTTTAGAGCAAGCCTCAGAATATCCATCTGGGAAGAAAAAGAGTCTGTATCTCCCAACGGAAATCAAATGAGTTGTCCTAAGACCTGAAACAAGGAGCAATACCAGTAAGGGATCATTACAATTTCCATGAATTAATGCTCTCCCAGAAGTGCAAATGATGTTTTAACACCTGGGTAAAAGGTGATAAAACCTTGTCAATTCTCTGACTCAGGGGAGAAATCAAGCCGCTTCCTCTCTTTAAGAAAGTTCCCGTTAACATACTGCTAAGTGAGAAAAGCAAAGTGCTCTTGCATCTCAGGCACGGTAACTTCTGTGTAAAAAAAAAAAATCCTTGTATCTGCCTATTTGTGCACAAACACAGGAAGGATCAAGTGGGAACTGGTGAGTTTGGTGACCACAGTGGGTGGGTGCTCTCAGGGGGAAAGGAGGGGAGAATGGCATGGAGTAGAAAGCATGGAGGAATGGAGGATTGATATCTGAGTATCTTTTTTTTCTTTGGAGATGGGCTCTCTCTCTCTCTCTGTTGCCCAAGCTGGAGTATAGTACCACCATCCCAGCTCACTGTAGCTTTGATCGTTCGGCATCCAGTGATCCTCTCACCTCAGCCTCCTGAGTAGTTAGGACCACAGATGAGTGCCTCCATGCCTGGCTGATTTTTTTATTTTTATTTTTTTTTAGAGACAGAGTCTCTCAATGTTGCCCCAGGCTGGTTTTCAACTCCTGACCTCAAGCAATTCTTAGCCTACCAAAATGCTGGGATTATGGCGTTGGCCTTTCAAAGTGTTGGGATTACAGGCGTGAGCCACTGAGTCCAGCCCTGAGTGTACCTGAGGATAGTTTTGTCTTTGAGTGCCATATTAGGGTTTGCCTACTGAAATAAACAAAACCAACAAAGCTGAGGGGTAGGAAAAGAAAATTCATTTCTCTTTTGGGAAGACCAGAATTTGCTTTTGTCATCATGGTGGTGGGAATGGCTCAGTAAATAAAGGATTTAAATAAAAGGCTCAGTTGTTAAAGTCTTTCTGACTTTTTAAGGGATCTGCTGTAAGTTCTGAAATTGAACTATCACAACCTAAAAAAGAGGACATTGTTACTGCTTCCTCATTCCTGGAAATCTTTGAAAAGGGAACAGACATATAAATGTCTTGGTAATCCTAGTAAAGGGGTGAAGGCATGATTACCCTTTCAGTATTGTGGAAAGTCATCGGGGCTGGATCCATGCATACGTTATAAAATTGGTGCAAAAGCTATTGCTGTTTTTGCCATTAAAATTAATTAAAAAGTAATGGGAAAAGCCACTTGACTTTGGCACCAACCTAATGGAGCAGGTGGTTTGTCTCTGAATCTTGTGCTCTCAATTCCTGCCTAGTCGTCCCTCCTCAGACCGCCACACTCAATTCCCCCAAGCTGTCTCCATGTTTGCTTTGCCCTGATAAGGCAGTAAAGCAGGACTCTGCAGACTAACCTTTGAGGTCATTACAGTGCACAAAAATCTTAATAATCTAAGCACATCTGGCGTCTAGGGCAGTACTTTTTTTTTGAGGGAATAGCTGTGATCACCTCTGGTATAAGAGCTGAAAATGTTTGAGTCTCACATTTAGCCTATGTGGCCAATGTCTACGTCCAGAGCCCAGCTGGGAGAATCCAGTACTGAATCAGCCTGCCGACATGCAGGAAGTTCTCCTGTAAACTTGGCTTTTCTTCTTCTCCAGTCCCATAAGCGTGGCCTGGGTGCAGGCACATTCTGGGAGAAAAGATCCGGATCATACAAGAATGAGTATCCTGGATCTGGTAAGGATCCAAATTGGTCACAGATATTTTGGCCGAACCCCGGAGTCCCCTAAACCAAAATATCACTTTTGAGTTAATTTCGGCTCTTTTTCTGGAATCCCATAATCCATCGGGCTACCTCCTGACCAATTTCTCCTCCTAGGACATCTTTCACAGGGAGGTTGCCCCATTACCTGCATTAATTAGAATTGGAAAAAAAAAAAAAGAAAGAAAGAGTAATTTGTCAAGACAATCACCCTATGGTACTTGCTCCAACCATTTTATTCTTGCCTTAAAATTTTTTCCAACAATGACATCAGCTGGGTTAAACTTTGATCTCCAATAAATAAATTCCATTCATATTATCCTCTCTTAAAAATGACAAGTTGGTTTTATGTTACAAATCTACTGCTTGTAGTCAGATTTGGTAAACTTATCCTTAGAGCTCCAAAGATTTTCAGATATTCAGCAGAGCAGAAAAGGGCTGCCTCATTTACTGACTGTGTGTATTTTAGGAGCAAATTTAGAACTCACTAAAGTAACACGTGTCTTCTTTTTTCAAAATCTTTATACTTATTTTGTGTACATGCGTACATCTCAAAAGAGTTTTTCCAGCCCTAAGCTCTTGGAAACCATGAAGTGTAATATAAAGTGGTAACTACAGCTCCCCAGAACCCAGTCCTTTCAGATCTGAGCCATATGTAAATAAATAATCCCTAAAACATTTATCTGGCTTCTGGCAAGGATATAACTATTTAGTTATGAGGCTTTATAATGTCTACATTAAAAAAAAATAGAAGAGAAACGATTCCACATCTTGGCATAAAAATGAGAATGGCTTACAAACAACAAAAATTACATATGTGGAAAAGGTTATGGGGGCGACTTGACTCAGAGTGGGAGAGAAGAAAAACTGAAGATTTAAATACCAGTAGTTGGGTTTAGAGCCAAGGAAAACGGAAGATGAACTCACTGATAACAGGAATATTAAATTGCCAGATGCCGTACAACTCTCCTCGTCCCTGCTTATTTCCAAATCTCAGTCCTGCAGAACAACGATTGTTTCTGGGCATAATGGATTTTATGCTAGAATCTTCTGTGAGATAAAGCCGTGCAGCCTAGGTGTATTCTGAAGTAACGACAATAACAACAATTATACTGAACCTCTGAATTTAGTGCGACTGAACTTGTTTGTTAAACCTAGTTATTTATAGCCATGTGACTAATCATTTATGGAAAAGGACAATCCATGGAGAGGAATGGGTGGTAATCATTTCCAGATAATTTGAGGAAACTAGGTTTTACATTCCATATTTAAATTTCACCAGTGGTGGAGACTAAAAAAAAAAAAAAAAAAAAAAAAAAAACCCTATTGTATAGAGCACCCTTGACATAACTCACTCCATCTTAGACTAAGACTCCATTTTATGTTTCACAGGGCGCTTTGCCAACAAGGATAAGATGTTTTGTTTAATAAATAGTGACAACAACAGAAAAAAAAGATAAAGACTGCATCCAACCAGAAAAAGACACGAACAAGCACATTTCCATGATCAGTTCTTATCAGAGGACTCTGTGACTTTAAAAGGTCAGGCCTTAAGCAGCTCGAAATGGCTGTCTTAACTACATTGTCTTGCAGTCACTCATGATAAGAACTTGGCATCTGCTTCTGCCACCTCCAACATTTTCCTCACAAGACCGACCCATGCCCCCTGGACTGGTTCCTTAACCCTTTCTCCAGTCTCTTTCTCCTCTTGCTGTTCACTGTCACTTTGTTGTGGAATGTTTAATCTGTAACACGTATGCATTGATTAAGTATACTATTACGTCTGGCTTGCCGTACTGACTGACCTGAGGAGTGGCTTGAGCCTGTGTGCCTGCAGCTCTACCAAGAGAATGGAAGGTATGAGAAGATTTGCCTCCGTGGAAATTCCATGTAGCTCCTGGATTTTGTGACTGAGTTAGCATCAACAAAAACCTGACATTGTGGAAAGACACAAGCATGTGTGGACCTGGTTATTTTTAACCTGGCATTGCTCTTGACACCTATCTTCAGAAAATGCTTTTTTCTTTTTTCCTTTTTAAAACTGCTATTGCATTATTCCATGTCTTCAAACAAAAAAATTCTTGACCAACAAAGATTTATTCCTTCTGATGAACTCCTTCCTAAAATTGCACACAAAAAATAATTCTGCAACCAGTTTTCTTTTTCTAGGTTGGTGGGCAGCTCAGAAGTAAGTTTTATGTTTAATTGCTCTTGTTCCTCTCAATCAGAATTTATTGCTACTCTTTCTTCTTTATCCTCTACTTTTTGGTTCATGTTGGTTCTTAAAACTGCTTTTACAACCTCATTTTTTTCTGAAGTGGATGGCATATAAAAAAGTTGCAATTAATTCAGGAATTAAAAATATGGCTCCTAAGACATTTATTTTCTTTCTTGCTTTCTTTCTCTCTCTCTCTCTCTTTTTTTTTTTTTTTCCTGGCAGACTAACTCTGCCACCCAGGCTGGAGTGCAGTGGTACGATCTTGACTGACTGCAACCTCCACCTCCAGGTTCAAGTCATTCTTGTGCCTCAGCCTCCTGAGGAGCTGGGATTACAGCCATGTGCCATGAGACCCAGCTAATTTTTGTATTTTTAGTAGAGACAGGGGTTCTCTGTGTTGGCCAAGCTGGTCTCGAACTCCTGATCTCAGGTGATCCACCCACCTTGGCCTCTCAAAGTGCTGGGATTATAGGTATAAGCCACCACGCCCAGCCTTATTTTCTAATGGCACTGAATTCCCCTGGTAGAATATTTGCTCCTCCCTCTCCATTGTTTATTTACTTGAAGTGGATTTAAAAAAAAAGCAAAAGACAGCAAATTGAGGGTGTAAGGTTTGCCTGGCAAATTCTGAGGAACAAAGAAAACAGACAACGCTCCCTGAAACAGATAGGTCCTAGGGAGAAATATTATTTCCACTTTCGCAGGCTCTCTTTCTCTTGTACAAATGGGTTGGGAGCTGGTTTTAGTTCACTTATTTCCTCAATGCTCAGGAAACAATTGAAATTACAAATGTGCCCCAGGCGCTGTGTTCATCACTGATGCAAGGAAATATGAGTGTGTTTACATGTAGTCAGGGGCTGGAAGGTGGAACTCGAAAAGGATTGAAATTAATATGCAGAAGAGGACCTGGGAGAGTTCTCTATCCTTCTTCCTAAGTGCATCCCAGGTTTCTAAAACATCCATTCAGATCTTTGTATTTGTTTTAATTTGTCCAGAGTTATTACCAAGGTTTTAGAAATTAATTAGATCTCTAGTTGGAAGATTACCCATTAGGTAAAAACACAAGAGTCTTGGGGCTATTTCTCTTCAAATAGGTAATTTTCAACATGTGTGTGTGTGTGTGTGTGTGTGTGTGTCTAGTTTTGAGGAGGAAAGATCTGATGCCTAATTTTCTTTGTGTTTTTAAAGGCATGGGAACAAATATTGACTACGGTAAGTAGTAGGTGCCAATAGATGTGTTAAATGAGGTTTTAGAAAAGGATACTTGGAGGTCCGAACAGCAGAGGGAATACTGGCCTGGGAGTTGAAACACCTGAGTTCTAGTCTATTCTTGCACTGCCATCATCTACTACAGTAGGAACAAGTGGGCTGTTTGCCACCTAGTGCCCCATGCACTCTCCACCTCCTCCCTGTCCCAGGAGGCTGATCCTTCAGACTGTGTCACCCAAGGTCCTTTGCTGTCTAGCATCCCATTAGGTTGGAGATGACAGGCGGGAAACAGAGACAACCATCTCTGGCTGTAGAGATCTCAGGGCAAATACCTCCTGTTAAGTTCCCCTGTCCTGCTGTTCTGGCCCTTGCTTTTGGCCTTGTCACCCTTTGTTCTCATAACCCTGACCACACCTAGCTAAGTCTATTGGTCCCCTTAAGGTCTTTTCATCGGAACCATCTGGTGTGGATTCTCTTTTTAGGCAGGTATCTGAATGATAACCAGCTTTAGCAAACTGGAAATGACTTTGGAGCAGTGGGGTTGAATTCCAAACCACTGGGATCACAGCGACTGTGTCTGGTTTCTTTCCAGGAGGCTGCCAGGTGGGAAGAGAAGCAGCGAAGATTAATTTGTACCCACCTGCCTGGTCCTTTGCAGACTGCTGCTCTATCTCCTGAAAAGTCTAAGACCAAAGACAGGTCTGTTTTACCCACCAAACGTATTAACGCACTCTGGCACTTAAGGATAAAGAGCTTTGCTTGTGACTCAACAACCAAAAAAATTTTTAATGGAGTTTTCTTCTTCTTCTTTTTTTTAATAACAATTTGACAAAAGGGTGAAGAAATCCTTTAACAAGGTAGTGAGACCAGTGTCTAGGCCGCATTCTGTTCACTGAATGCCCTCATGAGTTTGCATGGAGCTAGAAATGCATATAATTAAAGCAGAAAACAGGGAGGACCTGATGCAGAGAGGAGATCCGCGTGGAGGGACAACAGCATCCTTAGTCTTTCATATTTATATATGTATTATATATATATATACATATATTTTTTACATCCAGGTGTACCAGTCATCTGTACCATTTCCCAGGGAGACAAAGGTGCTCCCAAGGCAAGACAGGAAAGGGTTAGTTAGGGAAGGGGCAGAAGACAGTGCAGGCTAAGGCTTGGCTCACAAAAGCTGCAGGAGCTTCAGCGACTGTAAGAGGGCCCCCGGCTCCGCAGATGCCAGGTACTGGCAGCAAAGCCAGTCCTCCAGCTCCACGCCCCGCCTGCGATCCACCGCCTTCTCCGCAAACTTCATCATCATCAGGGCTCGCTTCATGTCGATCCAGTTGTGCAGCGTGCCGCACAGCGCCTCCTCCGAGGTGCCCGGCTGCTGCACCAGCTCGCGACGGGGCCCCCACAGCAGGCACTGCAGCACGCGCTTGGCCTCGCCTATGCGGATGCGCTTGATGGGGTCGGCCTCCAGCAGCAGGTGTGCCAGCTGCTGCAGGCCCGGGGAGTAGAGGGACAGCGCGGGCAGCGGCGGCAGGTCCTCCTGCCGGTAGTCCCGCTCCCGCAGCTGGGCGCGCACCTCGAACGGGTTGGGCTGGTGCAGCAGCTCGTAGATGAGGATGCCGGTCTGGAACTCATCGAACTTGCGGTACTGGGAGGCAGACACGATCTCGGGGGCCAGCCGGGCCTGGCTCTTCTTCTGCTGCAGGTTTGGGGTGCCCCCAGGCTTCTGCTTGGCCTTCAAAAAGTTGCTGATGATGAGCCGGGGCAGCTGCTTCTCCCCGGGCCTTCCCGGGCAGGCGGGGCCGGCTGCGGGGCTGGGAGAGCCACTGGCGGGGAGGGCGCCAGAGGAGCACGGAGGGGCGGCGGCGGGAGGGGGGGCGGCGGCGGGGGCAGGGGCAGCCGGGGGTGTGCAGTGCACCAGCAGCAGGTTCTCCAGGCACAGGTCCCGGTGGATGATCCCGTGCTCCTTTAGGTGCTCCAGCCCGTTGCAGAGCTGCAGGAGCAGGAAGCACACGCGCCGTTCGTACGCCTCGGGCTCCGCCTGGTGGCTGGCCGCCGAGTGCCGCACGAAGTCGGAGGCGGTCTGATGCGGCACCTCTCGGGTGATGACCACCACGCAGTCCTGCTCCTGCGCAGGCGGGTGTGAGGGCAGGGCCGGCACAGGGTCCTTGGGCGCGTCGTGGGAGGTGAGCATGCTGGAGGGCACCGAGGCGACGAAGTGGCCGCAGTCCTGCTGGATGTTAAAGTGCACAGGCACGGACGGGCTGCAGTAGGAGACGGTTTTGGGCTCAGGGGTTTTGCAGATCTGTGGGGAGAAGGAGAATGGCAATCAAGAGTGGAGCCCATGGTTCTGCCCAACAAAGAGTGTGGGAACATTTGAGTGTCCACGTGCAAAAAGGTCAACTTCACCCCTTACTCCATACAAAAACTAACTCAAAGTGGATCACATAGGCTTAAGGGTAACACGTGCTGGAAGAAAACATGGGACAGAATCTTTCATGCCTCGGCTTAGGCAAAGATTTCTTAAGTACCACACCAAAAGGGTCGTTCACAAAAGAAAAAAAAAATTACAAACTTAATCTCAAAAGTCTAAGTTTTTATGCTTCAAAAGACCCCATGAAGAAAGTGGAAAGACAAGTAATAGATTGGGAGAAAATATCTGCCAAACATGTATCTGATAAAGGACTTGCTTCTAGAATTTATATTTTAAAAAAAGAACACTTTTTTTTTTACAACTCAATAATACAAAGATAAACAATCCAGTCAAAAAGACACAGAATCACAGCATGGAGAAAAAAATGGGCAAGGAATATGAACAGATAATTCACCAAAATAAAATGGTAAATGGCCACAAGTTTGTGAAAAGATGTTGGACATCGTTAATCATCAGGGAAATGCAAATCAAAACCACAAGGAGATATCAGTTCACGCCCACTAGAATGAGTTCTAATAAAAGATAGTCCCAAGTGTCCACGGGGTTGAGCAGAAATGGGAACCCTCATACATTGCTTGTGGGAATGTATAATGGGGCAGACCCTTTGGAGCAGTTTGTCAATTTCTTAAAAAGTTAAACATAAAGTGACCATTTGACCCAGCGAATGGGGTCCCTGCTGAGCAACATGCAGTGTGGTGTGGAGGTATTGGCAGGAAGACACCCATCTGTGCGCAATGTGGACAAATTTTCGGAAGCCAAATAAGATTTACAAAGAAAGCAGCCTCACTTTTCTTCCAAGGTGAGTTGCAGCAGCTGAAAAAAACTAGAAAGCTCTCCAGGGAAGAGGGAACCGGAAGGAACCCTCAGAGGAACCCCAAGGTAGCCTCTGAGATAAAGATAGGAAAAGATCCCAAAAAGATCTCTTTTGTGGAAACAGTAGCTGGGGATCCACACAACTATATCTTTCTTGCCTCCTCCCTCTCTTCTTGTACAAATGACAGGGCCAGTCACCTGGGGATCTCTAGCAATTCTAGTCCTCATCTGGCTGCCATTCAACTAGAGAGTCTTGAACCAGCCATGATGTCCCTCTATCAGGCATTGATCTCCCTGTTATTACTCTGAAAGGGACTGAAGTCTCTTTCAAATGAATATTATTATGCAACCTCACCCAGGCTCTGTACAAAAAGATCAGTCTGTAATGCTGAGAAGAAAGGCATCTCACATTTACCTATAAAATATTATCCTGCAAACACTCCCAAAATAACCCTGCCTTCAGGCTGCAGTGTTGGAATGATGACGAAACAATGTTTTTGAAGTGCCACAATGCTTACAGGCGATACTTTTAGACGTTCTATTGCAAGCACCTTTTCACAAAGATTTATTTATATTGAAGCTGTGCAAACCTTCTCAGCATGAAACCTGGCATACAAGAGCTCAGCCTCTAAGGGACGTTTTTAAAGCTAATTATGGGGAATGGTAGGTAACACATTAATTTAGTAATCTCTCTACTATAAAAGCAGAATTGAAATAAAGGGGAAAGACATTTACCCCAGACACTGCTTTCTATTATACTTAAAAAACGATTTTGAAATATATGTATCAAAGGCATTGTTATTTTGGCCTACCCAACTATACTTGGTTTTTATTTATTTTTTACTTTTTGAGACAGGGCCTGGCTTTGTCCTTAGGCAGTGGTACAATCACAGCTCACTGCAGTTTTGACCTCCCAGGTTTAAGCACTCCTCCCGCTTCAGCCTTCTGAGAAGCTGGGACTACAGGTGCACACCACCATGTCCAACTAATTTTTGGAATTTTTGTACAGACAAGGTTTTGCCATGTTGCCCAGGCTGGTCTTGAACTGCTGGGCTCAAGTGATCCTCCTGCTTTGGCTTCCCAAAGTGCTAAGATTATAGGTGAGAGCTACAGTGCCTGGCCTGTACTTGGTTTTCAAATGGCAGGCTTCTGGAGCACTATTAAACTGAAGGAAACTGGGGAGTAGGTCCTCATAGAAAGAGTCTTGCATATATGCAGTTTGGCCAACCACCTTCTGCTGTGCTGTCAGTGGCGATACAGGAAGGACACCACTGTTACTGTCTCACCCCTGACAGATACAGGTTGAACTCTGGCATGTGCAAGGCACTGTGCCAATTCTGAGGGTTCCATGCAGCAGCTCATTCGATCTCATTAAATCCAAGGAGGAAGGTGCCATTACAGAGGAGGAAACTGGGGCTTCCAGAGGTTAAATTATTTTCTCAGGACTATACAACCAAGAAGTGTTCCAAAGGTCAAAAGTATGGGCTCTGGAGTGTAAAAAGGACTAGGTTTAAGTATTAGCTCTGTAACCTTTGGCAAGTTCCAAGGGATTTTTGTTATTTGCAGGAGTTATGTCCTATGAAGAAGCCATAAACACTCCAGCTCCTACAGGAAATGCAAGGTAAGTTTCCTGGGACCCTCAGGTCCCAATATTTTCATTAACCCACAGTATTCAACCTTGTTTCATGTATGCTTCTGTTTAGAGATACCTCATTTAATAAACCTTGTTGACTCATTAACATGAGCCTACAGACAACAGCACTAGAGCTCATGCCTGAACAAAGCTTATCTAACATACGCATTTTTATCCATGAGGCACATCCCAGCCTTGTGGTGGTTAGGAACACTAGACAGCACTTCAGCCCTATGCTTGGGCCATTTTAGTTTTTTTTAGATGGAGTCTCTGTCATCCAGGCTGGAGAGCAGTGATGCAATCTCAGCTCATTGCAACCTCGGCTCATTGCAACCTCTGCCTCCCCGTTCAAGTGATTCTCCTGCCTCAGCATCCCAAGTAGCTGGGACTACAGGTGCCTGCCACCACACTCTGATAATTTGTTGTATTTTTAGTAGAGGCAGGGTTTTACCATGTTGGCCAGGCTGGTCTTGAACTCCTGACCTCATGATCCACCAACCTCGGCCTCCCAAAGTGCTGGGATTACAGACGTGAGCCACCACGCCTGGCTACTTTCCCCCCTTTTGCTTGGCACTTCTCCATGCTGCCACCATGTGAAGAAGGACTTCACCTGGCATTTGCCTCCCCTTCCACCATGATTGTAAGTTTCCTGAGGCTTCCCCAGCCACGCTGAACTGTGAGTTAATTAAACCTCTTTCCTTTATAAATTACCCAGTCTCAGGTATATCTTTAGTAACAGTGTAAGAACAAACTAAAATCAGGTGACTCAAATTTTTCCTTGCCTTATACCTATTTCCAGAAATTACTGGAAAGCACTTCAAGTATTGATTTTGGAATTACAAATTAATTTGAGTGGGTAGATGATTTTGCAAATACAGAATCCATGCATACTGAAGATGGACAATATTTATCTCAAAGCCTGTTTTCTCGTCTGAATGACAGGGGCAGGGGTAGTCCTTCCTTGTAGGGCCATTGTGAGGATCCCATGAAATGATGCTGGCATGGCTCTCAGCGCCAGGCCCAGCCCAGGGTGAGCACAATGATAAGGGTTGCTATGGTGACTGCTCTTGCCATCTTGGCTGTAGCCCTCTGGTGATGCAGAGGCATCCAGGGCTGGTCTGCAGGTATTGTGCAAACCCAGAGAGCACAGCTGCCTAGGGGCCTGGGAAGAGTTTCCAAGGCCCCTTTTTCTCAGGGGTATGAAAGGCCTGGGCCCAGCAAACACTTGAAGCCCTGAGCTCCAGTCAGGCTGCTGACATTTTGCACAGATATGCAAATGAAGGAGCATAGTAAATGACAACTGGGCTGGAGGCATTTCAAAATCAGTGCGCTGGGGCTTTGGCAAGACCTGCAGATTTCTCAAAGCCCAGAAACATAGGGCGCATGCTAACCAGCCCTGTGAGTGAGCTCTGTGCTCATGTCGGAGATCATTCTACAGTGCTGGATGGGAAAAGAGGCGGTGGGGGAGGGAGTGGCTTCTTCTCCACCTCCATCTCCCCACTCCCTGCTCCCACCCTTAGTTCATTTTTAGGGGGCACTCTACTCAGATTTTTAGCTCCAGAACTTTACACAGACCCTTGGTTCAGCTCAAGTTTCAAACTTTTTGCTGAGCCAGGGCTCATTTAAACTTTGGAGCCAGAGCCTCATTCATGGGTGAAAGTCTGGTCTAAATCATGTCTGTTAAATAAAAAAGGCCCAGCGGCTTAAAACGGGTCCCTAATTACCAAACTAGAATTTTCTCTAGATGGCTGATAAAGGAAACTGCTTCGCACACACAGCTAATGATTTTTTTTTTTTCCTGCCACCTATTCATGTGGTGGAGCTACAAGAGCCAGCTTTATCTCCTCACTGCTGCAGGGCGCTGAGCCCAGGATAGTAGGCTCCAGCATCAGCAAGGAGCAGGTGTGAGCCTGCTATTGTTAACTGGGACTCTGCAACTGCAAACAAGGTTCTGTCTGCCTTCAGGGACGGCTCCCTGTTTAACATGCGTAGATGAAATGCACTCAGCCTCAGACAGGCAGCTTGCTGGCTGGGAAGGGAGATCCGCTCCCCCTCCTGCAGATCCCCAGATGACTGTAAATTGTCTAGACTTGAGTGCTAATGAAGTGGAACAGCTGCACGTGTGAAATGATGCTCCGGCACCCCCACCACCCACCCCCACAATGACCAGGCCACGCATATTTGCAAATTGATATTGTTCCTGGTAACCTTGTTCCAAGAATTACCATCCTCTGCATACTGGATGGTAGTCTCCAAATTTCCTTTTTCAAGTGGCACAGAGATGAGCCATTATTTCTTGAGCTACGGTGTCTCCAGGAAAGCCAAATAGGAAACCCCTGTGACTTTCCTTAGAGGGCTAAGGCTTATCTTTTGGTTTCTGTATGGCTTCTATTTCTAATGAAATAGGGAGCCACACTTATTTTAACATGCTTAAGGAAAGTAAAATTTCTTTTGTGTTGTTTATTAGAGAATGTCTAATTCTGCATTATTATATGGGACCCTAGAATCCAAGCTGCACAGTACCATTATTTATGGATGTAAAAAAGAAAACTGCTTGTCCCAAGGGCCCCTTACTTCTTGCAGAAAGGGTCACCTCACTTCCTATTTCATGGGCAAGAAGGATTCAACCTCTTCCACCAGGCTTTTTCCTCCTCAAAATGGAAAGGTCAGCTGTCTCTTGATACTGAATATTATTCAGTATATTATTATTATTATTATTTTGAGATGGAATCTTGCTCTGTTGCCCAGGCTGGAGAGTAGTGGCGTGATTTCGGCTCACTGCAGCCTTTGCCTCCCGAATTAAAGAAATTCTCCTGCCTCAGCCTCCCAAATAGCTGAAACTACAGGCATGCATCGCCATGCCCAGCTAATTTTTTTTATTTGTAGTAGAGACTGGTTTCACCATGTTGGCCAGGATAGTCTTGATCTCCGGACCTTGTGGTCTGCCTGCTTAAGTGCAGGGATTACAGGTGTGAGCCGTCAAGCCCAGCCCAATATATATTATTTATAATTATACTACTGATAATATTATTCAGTATATATAAATAACAAATAATTATAAATAGTATATGCTGAATATTGGTATTAATACTCTTAATTATAACAACTATATATTATTTAAATATACTGAATAATATTATTAATAGTAGTAATAATAGTATTATTACTTAAATATTATTTAATACTATTTTTTTAAATGCTAAGAATATTATTTTCTAACATTGCTGGTAAGCAAGCTAGCTCCCCAAGGCCATTTCAGATTAGCTCATTCTTTATACTTTTCTAACTGGAAAAAAAAAAGGATGTCATGTCTTAGGACAGGTGATGAGAGAAGACAGCTCAGGGTTTCCCTCCTTACTCCCAATAAAAGCCTACATTTGTAGAAGGGCCAGGGACTCAATAGGTATTCAAGGAGCAGCAAAAGAAGATGAGAAATAGGGCCATGGGAAGGACTGGAGAGCATAGTAGAGACCCCAGTGGCCCAAATGGGTGCAGATGGCTCAACTAGCTCACACGGAGCTGTGCTCTGAGAGGGCAGTGCAGTGCGGGTAGAGAGCCCTGATCCAGCAGCAAAGGCTAAAGAGCTGTGCTACCTTGAGCTCGTCACTTAATGTCTCTGAACTTCATTTATCTTAACTGGTAGGGACATAATTTAGGCTTTGGAGAGACAGACACGCCAGAACTCAAATCTACTCCAGCCACCAACTAGCTATGGGCAAATTACTTAGCCGCTTTGAGCCTCAGATCCCTCAAACGTAAAACCTACCTAACCTGTAGGATTACTGTTAGGATTAGAGGTAAGGTAGATAATACTCCCAGCCGAGAGTCTAGTTGTAGTGTGAATGTTCACACAAATAATATTATTACTATTATCGTTCGAGATGATTCCTAGGTCGAATGCTCCTTCTGGCTCTAACATTAGAAGAACGATTTCATTATCCATCTCCCTCACTACATTATAAGCCCTATAAGGAAGCTTATATTCACCTCTATATGCTCTGATTGTGGCAAAATACCTGGCACACAGTAGGCTCTCAATAAAAACCTGCTTAATAAATAAACTCTCTGTTGCACTAAAAAGCAACTGTTTCCTTATCCCAGCTAGATTATATATGTGTATTCCCGAAAGCATAGAATGTGTCTTATATTCATACTACTAATTTCATTGCACTGTGTCCTGGGCAGAGAGAGGGAGTGAAGTCGTTGAGCACTAAGTGTCCAAAGAATGCTTAGGGGCCAGGGCGGTGGCTCATGCCTGTAATCCCAGCACTTTGGGAGGCCAAGGTGGGTGGATCATCTGAGGTAAGGAGTTCAACACCAGCCTGGCCAACATGGGGAAACACCATCTCTACTGAAAATACAAAAATTAGCTGGGCATGGTGATCCCAGCTACTTGGGAGGCTGAGGCAGGAGAATCGCTTTAACCTGGGAGGTGGAGGCTGTGGTGAGCCAAGATCGTGCCACTGCACTCCATCCTGGGCAACAGAGTGGAATTACAGCTCAAAAAAAAAAAAAAAAAGGCCAGGCACGGTGGCTCATGACTATAATCCTGTAATCCCAGCACTTTGGGAGGCTGAGGTGGACAGATCATGAGATCAGGAGATGGATACCATCCTGGATAACACGGCGAAACCCTGTCTCTACTAAAAACACATATATATTAAAAAATAGCTGGGCATAATGCCATGCTCCTGTAGTCCCAGCTACTTGGGAGGCTGAGGCAGGAGAATCACTTGAACCTGGGAGGTGGAGGCTGCAGTGAGCCAAGATCATACCACTGCACTCCAACCTGGGTGACAGAGCAAGACTCTGTCAAAAAAAAAAAAAAAAAAAATGCTTAGGAATCAACTCCCCTCCTAATGTGCAGACAGGTAAAATGACTTGCTCAATCCATAGTTCTGCCCAAGCCAGTACCAGCCAGTGGCACAGCAGAATGGAAGGAGGGAGAGGTACCTACTTTCACAGCATAGGTGCTGCCGGGGTCCTCGGAGCAGGTGGCACAGTAATAAATGGCATCCCCCGAGTCACAGCAGGGCTTGTTACAAGTCAGCTTGAAGAGTGACCAGTTATTCTCATTGAAGTGGAGCTCCTTTTTCTGGCCGCCCATGAAGAGGTCCTCACATTTGGCTACGAGGCGGGCCAGGGACTGGGTGTAGAGTCCCCCCAGCTTGGCATAGGTGCCCTCCTTGCTGCTGATGCTGCTCAGGAGACCGTGCAGCTGAAGCTGGGTGCTACCGGTGGAGGCTTGACTGGACACACTCAGCTGGGAGGAAGAGGCGGAGGGGGCCCCTTTGCATTGGAGGCCAGGGCTCCCGCGGCCGCTTCTGCTGCCCAACAGCCCTGCTGCTGGAACCCAGTGGCCATTGCCTTTGAAAGCTTTCTCGAGAGGCTCAGAAGAGGAGAAGACAGGATGGTGGCGGTTTCCGGAGCTCAATGAATAGCTAAAGTGAGACTCATCGTGGACGTTGGTTTCTGAGTGGCTTAGATTCAGCTTGGGGCTTGCTGTTCGGGGCTTCGGGGAGCCTTGGGTCCAGAAGAAGCCATCCGGTGAAGAGGCTGCCCGGCTCACTATCTTTTTCTGGGGGAGCGGAGGGGGCTGCAGGGGGCCACTGGAGGACACATCCTCAGTGGAGCCTGAAGGAAACGGAACAGGAGCAAAGAGCTTCTTCCCGCTGTTGGTGGGTGAGTGAGCCAGCTCAGCCGAAGGACCTGAAGAGGAGAGACAGAAACCATCAGGCCAAGGCCAATACCACTCAATTCCAGGAGCCTGAAGACTTTTTTTCCTTTATTTTTTATCTTTTTGGTCAAAACAATTAATTTTATTTTATTTCTTATTTCTCGGATAGACAATATACGCATAGTGAAAAAAAATCAAAACGCAAAAAAGTATACATTGACAATCAAGTCTTCCTCCTGGCCTGTCCCTCAGTCCCCAGCCCCTCTTATCAGAGGAAACCACTGCCAGGAGCGTTTCATGGATCCCTCCAGCAATCCAAACAAATGCAGACACGCACACACACTCACACATACACTTTCACACACATACACACACAGTTACATAGAAGAGAGCAAACAGTGGCCACTGTTTGGAATAATGCTTTTCTTTCACATCTCGCAGAGATTTTTAAAAATCAAATGTGCAGATCTATTTAATTATTTTAAACAGTCTTACCATAGTATATCATCATATACATAATATTATATACTATGTATCATAGTATATCATCATATGCATAATTTATTTAACCATCCCTTTTTGATGGATACTTAAATTGTTTCCAATATTTTGCAGACAATGCTGCAACAGCAATAACAAACTTGAACATGTGTGGTTTGAGTGGATTTTTTTAAGGTCAGGTTTATTGAGGGTATAATTGGCCAATGGCAAAATTCTCCCTTTTGGCTGGACGTGGCAGCTCATGCCTGTAATCCCAGCACCTTGGGAGGCCCAGGCGGGTGAATCACCTGAGGTCAGGAGTTCGAGACTAGCCTGGCCAACATGGTGAAACCCCCGTCTTTACTAAAAATACAAAAATTAACTGGCATGGTGGTGGATACCTGTAATCCCAGTTACTTGGGAGGCTGAGGCAGGAGAATCACTTGAACCCAGGAGGTGGAGGTTGCAGTGAGCTGAGATCTTGCCACTGCACTCTAGCCTGGGAAACAAGAGCAAGACTTCATCTAAAAAAAAAAAAAATTCTCCCTTTTTTAGTGTGCAGTCCCTGGAAATTTCACTTATACCCTAAACTGGCTTAGTGGCCAAGGCAAGGCCACAGAGATTTTAGAAGGCAGAAAGGTCATGATTTTATAAATGAGGAAATTGATCTTAAAGAAAACTGACTCTTTCCAGATAATTGGGAGGAAAGAAAAAAAAAATGAGTCTTTTCCAGGCCCCACAGTTTCCAGAGTGGTGCATCTGGATACAGAGTTTGCCTGGGCAAAGGCTCATTCAGGGCCACAGGTGTCTGCAGAGCATGGGGACAATCAGAAAACCTTTCTGGGTAGCACACAAAATGGTGAGATGAAGGTCCAGTCTCTACAAAGGTGAGAGGTGACTTCACTCTTGGTATCAAGGTATAAAATGGTGGCTTCACAATGAAAGAAGAGTTTAAGTAAGAATATATATATATATATATATATATATATAATATACAATTAGAGAGAAAAAATGTCAAATTAAAATAATATTATTTTCCTATATTCTCAGAACAGCTCTAAGGTGTTATCTGCTATTTTAATAACAGCTTAACAGCTTTTGGGGTGATAAAAGAAATAATCAATCATATTCATAGTTTGTAAAATGCATCCTATTATCCTGAAAGTTAAAATATGAAAAAAATATGGCTTGTAGACCAGGTTCAGTGGCTCATGCCTGTAATCCCAGCACTTTGGGAGGCTGAGGTGGACGGAACACTTGAGGTTAGGAGTTTGAGACCAGCCTGGCCAACATGGTGAAACTCTGTCTCTACTAAAAATACAAAATTATCTGGGTACGGTGGCGTGTGCCTGCAATTCCAGCTACTAGGGAGGTTGAGACAGGAGAATCACTTAAACCCAGGCTGTATAATTTACCATAAGACTCAGGAGGGGCTGGTTGCAGCGATTCATGCCTGTAATCTCAGCACTTTGGGAGGCTGAGGAGCTCCCAGCCTGGGCAACATAGCGAACCTCTGACTCTACAAAAAATACAAAAATTAGCTGGGTATGGTGTCATGCACCTATAGTTCTAGATACTCAGGAAGCTGAGGGTAGAGGATGGCTTGAACCCAGGAGGCAGAAATTGCAGTGAGCTGAGATTGTGCCACCGCACTCCCACCTGGGCTACAGAGTGAGACTGTCTCAAGAAAAAAGAGTTTTAGGAAGGAGCATGGTGTTTCTCAAGTTCCCCTTGCCCACTTTCCCACTGCAGTAAGCAATCCTTGTTTTCTTGTGGTTTATCAAGATCATAGGGAGTTGCCCTGCCCACCTGCTAATGACATGCGGGGTCCCTGCCAGCAAGGCTGAGTGAGTGATTTATACCCTTTCCAGGAGGGCCCAAGTTAATAATAAATCAAGCAGTGGTCATGCAGTCTGGACCAGTCAGTTTTACGTGCCCACGAATTCTCCTCCCAGTAGTCAGAATGAAGGGTGCACAAGAAATAGCTAGCCAGAGGAGGGAAGATCCAGATGGCAGTGATTTCAGCAGGTGCTGAAACCCTTCAGTCCACAGGTCTCCCCATCCCACGCTCCCCAGGAAAGCAACAGGGACAGATGGAGGCTAGGGCAGATGATTCACTTCCTCTCCCTCCTCCCTCAAGCAGAAGGTGCTGAGAGGAGGAGGATGATCACTTATCAGCTTCTGGATAAAAAAGGGAGGGCGGCCGGGCGCGGTGGCTCAAGCCTGTAATCCCAGCACTTTGGGAGGCCGAGGCGGGTGGATCACAAGGTCAAGAGATCGAGACCATCCTGGTCAACATGGTGAAACCCCGTCTCTACTAAAAAATATACCAAAAATTAGCTGGGCATGGTGGCGCGTGCCTGTAATCCCAGCTACTCAGGAGGTTGAGGCAGGAGAATTGCCTGAACCCAGGAGGCGGAGGTTGCCGTGAGCCGAGATCGCGCCATTGCACTCCAGCCTGGGTAACAAGCGCGAAACTCCGTCTCAGAAAAAAAAAAAAAAAAGGGGGTAGGGCAAGACCACCTACTTAGGGGGCTCTCAAAGGACAGTAAGCCTCAGCCACCAAACTCCCAGCCTGATGAGCAGGAGGACTGGGAGCCGTGAGCACACATCCACTTCCTGACCTTGCTGCATTCTAGGCAGCAGAAACAATCACCACTGAGGCATCTGATTCTCAATTTATCATCAACACAGCAGAAGCCGAAGGTGGGGGATGGGAGTGGGGTGTGATCAGAGCCCTGGTCAATGCTTTCATCAGTGCCCTCAGAGACAAGGACAACCTGCCTATGGTCAGGACTCCTTCCCATCCCAAGTCCAGTCGGCCAGGATCAATTTCCTGGCTAGCCTTCTCTTTAAGCCTTAGGCTTATTTTCCCATCTTTATCGGTTTTGTCTTCCTTATCTTTAATACAAGGATCCCCTGATGCCACCAGCGTGCACCTTTCTGCTTCTGCTCCAGTTTGAGGGTGAGCAGTGGAGTGACACTTCACCAGCTGCCAGCCTGCCCGGCCTAAGTTTCCTCCTTTAGAAAATGACCGTTTACATCTCTGTGAAGGCCCCTTGCAGCACCAATAGTCTATAATTTCAGCTACTCTCTTTAAACGTGCATTTTGTCTCAAAGTTGTCCCGAAATAAAATACCTCTAGGCAGATCCTTATCTTGCTTCAGTTGTTCTTCCTTCTATCTCTAGTTCTCACAAATTGCCACTGGTACATTTTCCAATCTGGAAGGAGACTAGGGATCTTTTAACAACATAATTGGTGACACTTCTAATTCCCTAGGTGACCAGAGAATCAAGAGGTTCTGCTTTAGACTATACGGTATGTCCCAGCACAAAAACTGTTCAGGCAGTTGGAACGAAGTGATTTTCTCCTTTCTCTGTTCCCTCTTGCTTGTCTGTGGTAGCTGCTGGTCAGTGACTCTGATCAGATCTACACCCTGTAACTACTTGGGTAAATCTGACAAGGGGTCAGAGGGAAGCTTGACTCCAAGGATTAGCACGCGAGCTTATTAATTTTTCTTTATTTCTTAGATGCTGTAAGCTTGTGGTACCAGACTCAGTACTCACTGAGATAGCACTGCATAACCAAACCTTCCCTAACCACGCCCTTCTCAGCAGAAGTAAAGGCCTGTAGCTACACAGACCTTGTCAGGTGAAGTACAGCTCCCCTGAAATGTGGACTTGACAGGGATAACTGGGCATTATGTACACATAATATGATTTTTTTTTGAGACGAATTTTTGCTCTGGTTGCCAAGGCTGGAGTGCAATGGCACAACCTTGGCTCACTGCAAACTCTGCCTCCTGTGTTCAAGTGGTTCTGCATCAGCCTCCTGAGTGGCTAAGATTACAAGTGCCTGCCACCATACCCAGCTAATTTTTTGTATTTTTAACAGAGATGGGATTTCACCATGTTGGCCAGGCTGGCCTTGAACTCCTGACCTTCAGGTGATCCACCCGCTTCTATCTCACAAAGTACTGGGATTACAGGCGTGAGCCATTGCACCCTGGCTGTTATGATATTGGTATTCAGAAAAGATGTACCTGGTTCTATCGACAAGCATACCACATTCCAACCTAATGCATCCTTCCTCTGAGCTTACAGATCCTTAAAGCTCTCCAGGTGCAGAATGACAGCTGGTAAGAGGCCAGAATTAATTCTTGGAGCCCCCATTCCTGCCCCACCACCTCCAGTCCAATTTCAGGCCTCTCAGGATCCTATAGCTTCTCAGGTGTTAATATTCTTGGGGCTGCTTTGAAATAGATGCTAACATGTGGCCCTTCTAGATGAAACTGATTTCTCCACCAAATGGCAAATGGCAGCTGTCTTCTGTGGAATCTGAAGGCACTCCTAAAGACCTCCTCTGGCTCATTCTCTTGACTCTTACCTGGGGAACCGTCTCTCCATAAACACAGCCTTAGGCAACACAGCAGCTATGTTCTCACTGTTTGCAGCAGCTGCCACACTCTGGATTTAGGAAAGCCAGAAAGAATAGGGAACAAATATACCCTGACACCTAAAATAGTTCCAAATTCACAGGCAAACCGCTGGT